GGGGGATCACGGTGTGCTGCTTGCACATCTGACTTGAAATCCAGTATAAGGCTAAAAACAATATTTCTTATTCTACCATTTGAAGGTAAAGCGATACCGCCAAAAAAAAAAAAAAAAGCAGCTGAAAAAGCATGGTTTCTGAGAAAATAAAACACACATCAGTAAGAAATTGTACTTTTCCCCCATATGTATAACGTTACAGATGATACGCCTCTAATTATTATCCTACGTTTTAGGTTACCATTTTTGCTTCCTTAGAATGACTAAGTCCTATCTGACATTTATTTTGGCCGTTCTGAGTCACTGTGACCATGAGATCAGAAATCAAATGCTGTATAGTCTATCTGCTCTATCAATACCGAAAGACTTTTCGGAGTACTTATTAAAATGTTCAAAGAATTGCATTTTTTTAAAAGTTTGACGTGTTGTTAAACTCAAAATTCTTAAAGTCAAACTTCTCAAAACAAGGTTCTGTGCAGATAGATCTAGGCAATTCCAGGGTAGCGATTAGACTGTAGGGTAAACACTTGCTAGCCTGTATGTAATGACTTCCTCTGTGCAACAACAGACACCCTCACACACAATGAAGGCATTTTCGACAGAGCATTACAAAAGCTATTACCTCTTTCTTCCCTCTCAATCAATGACACATGCCACAGCACCCCTCCCCTCTACTCCATCCCTTGAAACTCAGTAAGAAAAATTAACAACAACTAAACAACAAGAACAAGAACAAGAACAACAACAACAACAATAACAACAACGACGACGACGACTACAGAACAAAAGAACAACAGCAACAACAGCAACAACACCCCCAGAAACGTGCTAGTTTTGTTTAATCGTGACGACCCAACTTCCCTTGTTTACCACAGACTTGTCACTTTTATCGCGTGCGAGGCTCAAATGGGCCGTATAATCGAGGTGTGTTTTCAGACGTGTCATGGGCCACAGGTAACTCGTGCAGCAAAACAGAAACTTACCTCCCTCGACAGCTGCTCCTAATGTGCCTAGAAAATCACTTTCGGATGAATCGGATAAACCGATTCGTAAAAACCGATAAAACCCAGTTACCGTTCTTCTCCGAGTAAACTTCAAATTATTTGAAGGAAGGAATATCAAAGATCAAATATTCAGTGCTTCGCAGGAAGTTGAGATTGTTTCAGAATGCTATCAGGGCTGCTGGGGTAAAAGTATAGACTATATAAAGCGCATAGAACGTGGTGGTGAGCGGGAATTTGCGCTATGCAAATACTATCTGATCATCATTATTACAGCTTTGCTTTTCGCCTTAGGATAATAACACTTCTGAAACGTACTAGAAGCAACACTTTTGATTGAGTGTCAACCAAAAGTACTCCCAAGACCTCTATAAATAGACTGATTGTAAAATGAACAATATAACTCGTTAATTTTACTTCTGA